CCAAGCAGAAGAAGGGGTGCGAAAGGGAGGCCCCAGCCCGCCCCCCCGCTGCCACACTGGCTACAGATGCAGGGACTGCGGGGGGACCCCCGATCCCTGCCGACGTTAGCGGATCCCTAATGAGCTTTTGGGCACCGGTTAAGAAATCTCCTCCCCTCAACAGCTTGGTTTGGCTTTAGCACGTCAGCCCTGGGCTGCAGGTGGGGCCGGCCGGGAGGAAGGATGAGGAAGATGAGGGGGGAACGGGGCGCTGGGATACGCCATGGCCGCGGGGCCCTGCCTCCACCAGCACTCTGGGAGATGCTCGCGTTTGCCCAGATACGGGGGAAAAAAACCCCACGAGAAAAGCGTCAGCTGCACAAGCCCAGAGGCAGGAGCACAGCGGCTGTGCCCGCGAAGGGACGCTCGGCGCTGCGCTCCCCAAGGCGGCATCACCCCTCTCCTCTCCCCCCTCGTCCCAGCGGCGCGGGACGACCACCGGCACAGAGGAACCGGTGGGAGCGGTGCTGCCCCGCACCAGCTGCCAGCGAGAAGTGAAATCACACACAGAGGTTTACCACGTGGAGGCAAATTACATTCTCATCAGGCCCTGCTAATTTGTGTCATCTGAGGCCTAAAATAACCCTCCCTCCCCCCTTCCACTCCAGGTTTTTCAAAGCAAGATTAATTGACTTGGGTACGTTGCAGCAATTAAAATACCGAGCACCAGGAACTGTCAGATGATCCTCATCAGCATCCATATGCTGCGGCTGTGCCAACCACTGGCTCCAAGATGCTGCTTCACAGTCTCACCCATCCTTCCTCCCGCTTGGATCACGAGAACGGGGACTGCGCCACAGCTAAGCCCGCTCTACATCGTTATAATTCCATCAGCACTTCCAAAAGCTTTGCTCTGCCTGCAGAAGCCGCTGCAGAAGCGAAGGCTACGTCTAATTAAAATGCATCCCCTGCGAGAGGCCGGCGAGGAGCGCGGCCGCGTTACCCTGCGGAGCGGGAGCCGCTCTCTTGTGCTGCAGCCAGGGGAGGGAGCGGGGAGGGCGGGTTCCCGGCTCCAGCCTCTGATCCGAGCCCCTTGCCCGTGGGGGGCAAATCCGAAGGATCACAACGGGATCCGCAGCATGCTCAGCTTCCCCGGGGGCCGTGCTCCAGAGATGCAGGGAGATCTGCTCCTGCGCAGTCAGATTGCCAGCGTCTCTAATCAGCCCTTCCCCAACCTCACAAACCCCCAGGGAAGAGATTTCTCTCCTTTGAAAACACTGACAGAACGCCCTGCAAAGCCTCCGCAGCGCAGCTCCCGCTCCCGCCTCGGCGCGGCCACGTGAGCCTGCCGACAGCGAGAGCAGGGGCTCCGGGAGCAGCCCTGAAGACGCGTTTGATGGTGACTGCTAAACCCATCGCGCTCCAGACCATTTAAACACAAACAGTTGCCCTAAAATATTAATGCTGGAACCTGCTGCTGCCCGTTTCTTACAAACTAATGGATGCTGGGCTCTGCGAGTGCGGCGGAAGGGCCTTCCGACAGGGACGCGAGGATTTTCAAGCGATGCATTAACACACTGCTGGAGGTTTTCTTTAGGGAATGCTCAGCATATGGATGAGATGCAGGGAATGAAGCACGGGACGGGACGGGGCCCGGCCCGGCCTCGTTTCTTCCGTTAATCACTCTGAGAAATAAAAGCTCCCAGAGCCGCTTGGGGGCTAAAATGGAAGCGCTGCTGGCGGGGAGCTGCGGCACCAGGCGCACCGAGCGGCCCCAGAAGGGATGTTATTTTTGGCAGCTATTACAACCAGGTCTTGCTCAAAACTAAGCCAGCAGGAGCAGCTTAGTGCAGCTGTGCAATCCGTGATCCCACCTGCTTTTGACTTTATTTCCGCTATTGTCTCTCACCTTCTCGGAGCCTGAGCGCGAAGGAAGCAGGCTCAGCCAGGGTTTCTGCAGGGGGCGCGAGGGGAGGGAGGGGGCTGGCTCTCCGGATTAGCAGGAAACCACACGCCTGACGGGCTCTTTGCAGGCAGCCTTAGAACCAGATTCTTAACATTTGTGTCAACTAATCTCTGCACAAGTGTCCGCAGATCCGAGGGGCAGGGACAATACCTCCTGACACCTACGCTGGGACACTCCTCGTTTCTATCTCCCTCTGAGCACACAGGAAGAAATTCTCTTTCTTCAGGTCAATATGGAAATATCACCTGGGCTGTGATGTTTCGCTCGGCCGTTGAGCTTCAGTGTCCCCCTTGGCTGACGAGGAGGCTCATCTCCGGTGCCGTTTGCAAGGGAAGGAGGTGAGGTGTGCTTCCCATCGCTCTCGTGCTCACCACTTGAAGAAGACCAGCCCAGCCAGAGCCGTGTAGCCCAGCACCAGGAAGAGAACCTTCAAGAGACGGTCATTCTTGTCTTCCAGCTCCTTCGCAAGGATCTCAAAGAAGGTGATGAACAAGAAAGTGCCCCCTGCGATGCCTTGCAGGAGCAGGGAAGTAATGTTGCTGGCCGCATTTTGGGTGCTCTCAATCCCCATCCCAATGCTAATGCCCAGAGGAATCATCAGGCTCACCGTCACAGCCATCTTCACAGCGTCCTTCAGTGGCAGCGAGCTCTTGGCCATGCTGATGCCCAATGCCACCGCTACCAGCGTCTCGTGAATGGCAACTCCTAGGAACAAGCTCATGACTTTGCCGCCCTCCTCCTGCAAGCCCAGGGCCAGTCCCTCGAAGATGGAGTGCGTACACAGAGCAAACACCAGCCCGATGAGGCGTAAGGGGCTGGAGCGGGAGAGCTCCTGGATATTCAGGCCGTGGCTGTGGGAGCGGTGACCGTGTTCACCGTACAGCGTGCGCCCTCGGGAAGACGCAATGAAGGGACTCTCGTATTCAGAGTCGCTCCCGACATCTGAACCGGCGTTGAAGGTCTCTAAGTCAATGAAGGAGGGCTTTTCCTTCTGGAAGGTCAAGATGAGCTGCTCCACAAAGACCGTCACAAAGAAGCCAACCATCATGATGGTCTCAGCCACCGGGTAGTCCGTGGTCACGTTCCCCTGCTTGAGAACTACATCGAGCTGGAACGAAGCAAACAACGCACAGTGAACCAGTCACCTTTGTCCCTCCAAAGGGAAATATTCCTCCTGGGTTCCCACAGCTCTAAATGGACGCTAAATTGATCCATGAAGCTTTAATGCCCTTGTACACAGGCCTCAGCGTAAGACAGGGAACCTGTCTCTTGGAAAGGAAACCCATTTCCCTTCCGGCGGAAGGTTAGTGGAGGTCTGCAAGTGTTTTAAACACAGTCTCAATGGCAGGAGTTTGAGCCTCACACCCCAGGCGATGCTCAGCCTCCTTCCGCATCAAAAAAACTCTCCAGTTACTCCACCCGGACAGTCAGCGGTAGCCGAATGGGAGGCGGGCGCAGCTCGCCCTCCTGATCTGCAACACCGGGCACGGCAGAGCCGTTTCTGAGGCTTCGTGGGCTGCTCTGACAAGACACAAACCCTCCACACCCCGTCTCCGCAGGGGCAGGGGTCTGGTGGCCAGGGCTCCTGCAGGGCAGGAGAGGGGAGGGCGGTCCCCCCGCACAGGGGTCCCTAACGTACTCAGTGGCGCAGGTTCATTAAAATTGCTCGTAAGCAAGAGGCTCATAAGCGGTTACCTTTTCTCTCACGGCAGGCAGCAAGGCGTTGAAGCAGGTGGCCAGGAAGACTCCCCCTCCAAAAGAATTGCAGAGGGCAAGAACCTTCTTGGAGCGATGAGCTTTCTCGTAATCGGCCTCAATTATCTTGACAGGGAGAAGGGACCCAGCCAGCATGAGGACACAGATGCCCAGCAGACACAGCACTTTGGCGACCACGATCTTCATCGTGCTTCCTGGCGAACGCTCCTGCCAAGGGCCCTGCGGAGGGCAGCCGGCGGGGGTCCCTCCGGCGCCGTTAGAGCGGGTGCATCGGCAGGCGACGGCACAGGCAGGCCTCAAGGGAAAGGCGCTCCTGGGCTCAGCGCCTGTGGACGGGAGGAAAACAGGAGAGATGTTCCTACGTAAGCATATGCTGTGCAGAACAGCAGCTCGCATCCCAAAGCGCACGCCAGCCTCTCTATAGGAATCGCCTTAACTCCCCAGGGGCAACGGGTGGAGACGACAGCGGCAGCGCCTCGCACACAGCGGGGCAGGGGAACGGCAGAGAGGAGAAAACTTGACTGCGGCACCCAGTAACTTACAAGCCTTGTGAGAATTGTACTGGCCACACACAACTGGCACAGCCTCAGTTTTTAGAGGCTTCGTTTGAAACGCCTACACAGTGACAGACACAAAACACTTCATCTTGCAATAAGATCGACCTGAGTCCAACCAAAGGATCAAGTCTTTGGCTTTTATCCACAAGAAATGAACACAGGCTTGAACCGGTGGCTTTTTGTCAACCAGAAATGAACTTAAAGATCTCCAACGTTCAGACGTTTTTTTTTGTACTGCCCTTGAAACCAGACTATTGGATTGATTCCTGCTTGGTTTCCTGAGCCACCGCCATCATCTCGCTAGGGCGGGTCGCAGCCTCGACAGTTGGTTCCTTGCCCTGTACCAGGAGTCAGTGGGAGTTTCGATTGCCGATCAATACACACGTCTCTAAAGGGAAACCCTGCGGAGAAATTCACTGCAAGGTTCCCTATGGCCCATAGGGTGTGACAAGAGAGGAAGCAGCAGCTGTTTCATACAAGAGAAAAATGCGGGATTTGAGTTGCCTAGGTCACAAAAATTGGCTCAATCTGAAACGTAAAAGCGTTTCCCTTCAGGTTACACGCAGCGGCAGCGAAACTTGTTTTCCTAAAATCATTTTACAAAATAACAATGTTAAATCTATTTATAAAAATACATAAACGTGAATGGGTCCCTCTGCTGCTGCTCGGTCCTGCAGCAGCACAGCCAGCACCTCGGAGGATTTCAATTACGACTCGCACCGAACTGACTTGTAAAGTCAAACCGACGGCACCTGGAGAAGGTTCTCTTGCAGGTCACGCAGGCAAGGGCTGCCAGGCAGCCCCGAGCGCTGACGAGACGCTGCGGCCTGTACCGGGGTAACGAACTAACACAGAACACTTCCAGCCACGCTGACACCCACACCCGTGATGGACAAGGTAAATAATTGGATACCTGCTTGTTGGAGCGGCAAATTAATTTTAATACAAAAGATTCCTGAGGCTGAAGTCTCCCTCGAGGGCTGACAGTATTAATCACTATCACCGTTTCTGCGCAGCGGGCTGCAGAAATGGTGCTTTTATTAAAAGGGAAGTGGGAGACTGAATGACTGTACTGGGTAAGGGAGTTTAAAGCCTTTTTCCGAGTTTGCAGTTCAAGCAGGAGTGAAGAGAGAGGTCGTGGCGGTCAGGCCATCTGCGGTGGGCCTGCTTCTCAGCCGGGTATCCATGGGAAGCGATGTTCACCAGAAGAAAACCCTGCTCGGACTGTTGGAGAAGTCAGTTTTAGCTCAAATGAGGACCCAAAGGCCTGTTGAAGCCTTAGACTGCAAGCTGTGAACTTTCACCCAGATACGCTGACCGTGTGCTGAACTCCTACCAGCTACATGAAGGAAGGCCCTGAAACCGGTGCAAACCAGGAAGATAAGGTAGCCGAAACCATCGGCAGAAGCTGCAACTATTCGAGGTAAGAAAAGGAACATCCTGCCCGGAGACAGGGAAAGGATCCAGTGAGGAACAAGAAGACCCCAGACCCAAATATCGCTACTGGACCGAACCGTCGCACGAGGGGAGGGGAACTTAGACTGTAAGGGTATAATTGCCCAGGGATCTCTTTGTTCGGGGTCCCTCTCCAGAGGCACCCAGCTCGAGCTGCTCTGCACCGCTGCACCACTCGATAAATTCGCCTGGCGTACATCGTGTTAGAGACTCTGCTTTGGGGAAACTCAGGGTTGAGCCTGAGGGGAGAGGAAGCGCCCGAGGGTGAGCGTGTGTGTGAGCGAGGAGTCGAAAAGGGGCGCCCGTCAGCTCAGTGGAGCTGCCCACCGCGAAGGGGCTCCGGTCCGAGCAGATAAAGTCGCGGGTGGTGCGTGTGCGACTCCCCGGATGGTGTGTGAATGCTCGGGCGGCTGCTGCTCCCTTAACAGGACGCCACTGACTGACTCGCTCCCCAGTGAACCGGCAGACGGGCCAGGTCTGAGCAAGTCCAGAGCCTGAAACCTCGGTGTACGTTGGCAGGGCTTCCGCAGCAGGCAGCCTGTCACTGCGGCTGACGAGCAGGCTCCCTCTCCAGAGACATTGACTCCAGGACTGCCAACGCTCATCAGCGCTGTGCTGACACAGCTAACGAGTCACGCCGCCTGTGTAAAGCACACGCTGCAGTTCTAGCGTCAACAGAACGACAAGGATTTCGCCTCGCACGGCGACGGCGTGTTGTTATGCCAAGCTTCTCAAATGAACGCTCTCAGAAAACAACGTTAGCGACGACGCCTTGGGATCACAGATCACGAGAGCTTGCGACTGCACCTGCTGGGTGCGAAGGCATCGCCCACGCCCGCTGTGTCAGGCAGGCAGACAGCTCCCGGGACAGAGGGGAGGAGGAAAAACCTCCTTTTCCAGAATTCACACCCCTTCTGGAACACACCTGGCTTCCACTCACAAATTCAGAAAACCCCTAACCTGATTTTTTTTTTCTTTCTTTCTTTTCTTTTTGTTAACCCAGCAACAGCCCCCAACAAAGCGTAAAGCCTCAAGCTCCCGACAGCAGGTGGAGGAGCTGCCCTTCAGTGCCCCCGACCCGGGGCGGAAAGCAGCTTAGTGAAAAACAGAGCGGTAAGTACAAGAAATACCTTGTGTTTCTCCTCGCCTGCTCTTTCTGACAGCCCAGCGTTCAGCAGCCAGTGCCTGGGTTATTTCATCAGCCTGAAAACTTCTGTAACAAAGAATTAACTCAGGACGGGTGCTGCTTGGCTTAGTGACTGTTAGATAAAGCGGACAGACCTCTGTGGAAGGAAAAAAAAAAGATTTCTTTATGTGTGATCCTTTAAATCTCAGCTTTTCTGTTAAAAACACACACTCGCGATGCCCCCAACACACCGGACAGCGTGATGCCGAAACCGGGCCGGATTCCCCCAGGGCCGCGCTTGTCCCAGCACCTCAAGCCACTCACGATCGTCCTGGTCACCCTGGAGAAGCGGGCGGCGGGCGGGGGGCTCCCCCAGGCCGCCACAGCAGCCCTAGGTCCGCCCGAGCACCCCAGAAGGGTGCAGAGATGGGGGGGACGCGCTACAGGGGTGCCGGGAGAGGGCGGTCGGCAGCTGGGCCGGGGAGCGGGGCGTCCCTCGCAGCTCCCCCGGGGGCCCCGCCACCCCGCACCCCCCGACCACGGCA